CCTGTGACCATTTAATACCTTCCCCTAAACAAACAATAAGTTTGCTAATTGCAAACACAAAGATCTAAAAAGCAGCCTGTGTGCTCAGCAACCTTGATGCGTGCATGCCCCTGCTCCTGGTTTTATTATTTCATGTTCACACCAATGCAAGAACACAGTTTGTGTGAAAGCCCATTCCTTCCCATGAATTACTACCTCTAACATTGATTTCAGTTGGACTCAGGGCATGATGTTTGGCTGGGATTGTCTAATATGGGGTCTCTAAGCACCAGTGAAACTCCACTGTCTCCTGCTGGTTCAAAACCTCTGAAGGGGTGATTTAAGGACTGCATTGTTAGTCCTATCAGTTTCAATAGAATAATGGCAGAGATCATTGATTTGCCTTCTCAAGATCAAGGGCTGTATATAATAGACTCAATTGTAACTAAATATATATGTGTGTATATGCCCTTATTCAGGGTGAGCTAGTATGAGTAAATGGTGTTCACAAGTTCAGTCTGCAAATCATGAAGCATGTCCTCAACTTTATGTGTTGTAGAACAAAGGCATCCCATTTGAATGGTAGAACTCTGCCATCCTCCTCTCAGATATGCAGTAATCCTCTGGAAAGATGGATGAATAGTTCTCTTTTCTTTCCCTTTGCTTAACTCCCTATGATGCAGGGATACCCATAGATATGTTACTGAAAACTGGTCCATTGAATTTATTTGGATTTGTACCTGGTTCCTTACACTGCAATCTTGTACACACCTACTCCGAAGTAAGCTTCCCTAAGTTCAGTGGGACTTGCTCCTAGGTAAGTTGGTACAGAACTGCAGCCTTGGTATTTGTCCTTTTCTTCTTTCCTTGCTTTATCTATCACTTCCATTCTTCTTTTATGAAATGCCCTCACTGGGACAATGCCCACCCTTTGGGAGTCCAGGTGGTAACAATGATTTCAGATAGAAATAAAGAGGCAGTAGGATGTGAACCCAGGGCATTGGCCTTCAGCAAACAAGTCACAGACAACAAGTGATGGAGTATTTATGGCATATCTGTCAACAGCTCCGTTTTTTTACTGCGATAGTATGGTGGCTAATTTGGGCACTTTGCTCTCATGCAATTTTGGGCTGAGATTTTTCCCTGAGAAAAGCACTTTTTTTCCAAGTCTGTGATTTGTGCCATGCCCCAAAACATGCGTTTTTGGGTGCATTGCATCCCCACAAAAGTGATTTTCCTGGGTCTGCAATCTCACGTGGGTCATGTGATTCACATGGGATTTCAGACCCGCAAGATGATATCCCAGATTTGTTGGAGGGTATGCTTTATAATCTTCCAGAAGCACAGGCAGATCTCATCATACACTAATTTCACCTATGCAATTTCAGCTTTGCAGAAAATAAAATGAACCAATTAAAAGGGGCGGGAGAGTGGGAACCTGCCCCTGTCCCTGGAAGGGGCCATTTGAGAGCTTGCAAGACCCTCACACAACCTTCCCAGAGCCTGGGAGGCAAGGTGAGGGATGGGGGCTTAAAATGCTCCCCACCTTGTGTGGGAGGTGGACCAAGATCTGCTTAGTGCTGGCTTCCAACAGGGAGAGGTGGTTGTGTGGGGCTGTTTGGGGGATCATTCTGACTTTACCTGGCTTATTTGCACAATAGCCAAGAATGTAACTCCCAGATACCATGTGCATACCATGGCAACTCAGGATTTCATACATGCAGCCGACTACTGAAGTGGCTGCATATAGAGCTGGGCTGAAGCACACCAGCCACATTCATACCACAGGCTTGAAGCACTTTAAACTGCCATGGCTTCCCCCCAAAACAGCCTTTTCTGCTTTATTGTAGGCAGGGCTTGATGCACAGCTTGGAGTGACCTGAAGGTGCCATGTTTTATGGATAGCTGTGATCTTCTTATTTAGGCCCCTGTTGCATTTGCTCACGTGATCGCTCATCTCTGTTAACCACACATCAAAGCAGATTCCTGGACCGCAGTTGCTTTATTAAACAGGAAACATAATGGACTGGCTCTGAGGGTTATGCAGAGAACTCAAAGAAAGAGAAAAATTTTGTGCGCAGCGTGGTGTTGGATTTTTTTCAAAAAGCAGAAGCAGTTCAGACCCTTAAAAACCATAGATTAAAAACCCCAGCTGCATTCTGGGATTACAGGGTTTCTAGAAAATGGAAAGAAAATGTACCTGGTTTTTCTGTTAACCCTGATAGAACTTCGAAAGGGCGATTCTTCGCCAATCTCTCACAAAAGGAAAGAAAAATACATACTGGAAAATCACACTTAATGCACTTAAAGTCAGAATTTTGCACTGCTGGCATTTCTTCACATATGCTAATTGGCCATTAAAGAAATAACTGGACCCTGTCTTCACTGGCAGGGCTCAGCCCAAGTACATGAAATGCCGGAGAGCATCTAAACATACACAAAGGTCCTTTGCTCTTCAGTGAATAACCATAAGGAGTATGCAATAGAAAGGTCTCCATAAACTGCATACAGAAGCTATTCCAGACAGCTGCAGTTGCTTTTCCAAATGTAATCAGGAATCACCTAATAATCACACAAACCTTTGCAAACCTCAGTCAGAAAGAAGCAGAGAGAAATGCTGAACTGACGTTGATGAGTCACTGCTCAATGCCAAGTCTTGATTAGGAGTGAAAAGGATACAACTGGCAACGCTGTTTGCAAAACAAAGCAGGAGGATTCTTGCAGAGTCCTGTGGCATTTGCAATTTGCACTGAAAGCTCCCTCGGCTCTGTGCAATGTGTGGGATTTTGAAAGGCTGTGACGGTTGACACTGATGACCAGTGGGATTATGCATCCCTGGGGCTTGTTGGCCTTGGCCATTCATTGTTGGTGCAAAAGTGATCTTTTGTGTGTGAGGTGTCCTTTGCCAATGCCCCCCCCCCATCGCCAAAGTGCTCACTTGTGCACTTGTATACTGGCAGGTCAGTGGACACAGGGGCACAGGTGGGATGTGAATTTTAAAAAATGAGGTTTTATACATATTTTAATGTACACATCTCCTAATGTATGCATTTATGTCTAATGTTTGGGGCACATTTCTGAAATGGGCATTTTTAAATAATACATTTAAAAAAATATTTTATTTTCACCAAAGATGCACTTTTGTGCACACAGTTCTCATATATATACATATTAGACACATTTTGCTATTGTTGGAATACTGCTTCCAAAAAGCTCAAATTTTAAAGCTTTTTTTCCCCGTTTACACATTGGTTCAGGAAGTGCAAAATACAAGGGACTCCCCCTTTATGTGGGAGTTTTATTCTGGGGCCCCGTGTGCATATGCAAAATTGCGTAAAATGGGGTACACCCTGGAGAGTGCTCCTCAACCAAGCTGGAGAGACGGCGGGGCTTGGTTAACCAGGTGGTCTCCATTGCTGGGTACCACTTCTGGGTACCCGGCACCACATATGTGCATGGTCACGCACAGATAGAATGAGCATAAATGGGGAGTTGCCTATAGTAATGCTCAAATTACCAAAAGGTGAACAAAATGAATTTCTCCTCCATCCCTAGGGGGAGAAATCCCATTCTGCCCTAGGAAGGCTATAGTTCCATGCCTTACAACTTGATATGCAATCCACATTCTCTTCTGGTGCTGTGCCATGACTGAAGAAGTTACAGAAGCTCACCTTGGCATTTCATAGCAACACTCTGATATGGCTGGCTGGTAACAGACAAGGCCGCAGAAGCCAGTTGTCTGATATTCTCCATTAATTGAGCAGGAGTGTATTCGCTTCGGTCATCTTTTTTGTAGGTGTCATGCTACATCATCACTGGTGGCACTAATGATTCCTGAGTAAGCCCTGATCTTCTCACCTCATGCTCCCGATTCCATTTGATGTCTTAGCAGCATAGTGGCTAAGCTAGCGGCACACACCTGTGGCAAAAAGGTGGCACAACTGTAGCTTCTTATTTCACAGGTGTAGCAGGACTTGGTAGGGATCCAATTCCACTCCAAGACTAGGCAGACTCTGAGGCAGGATCACCGTGCTAACTTAATATTTATGAATATGTTACCTTCCTTGACTTTTTAAGGCTGAGTCAACTGCTTCTCTGTATAGCTTTTAATCACCATCAAATCCTGAACTAAAAGTGTATTATTTACACATCACCAGCACACAGCGAAGTCCTCCTGTTTCATTAATTCTCCCTGGTAATAGTAAAAGTGGCTTCTTCCTTCGCTATAGTTTATTATCGTGCTTTCACCGCTCCCCTGAGCTGCGATGTTATGAGCTTTCATGTGCATGAAATTCCTCACACACTTCCTTGCCAGATCAGATGTATGCAACCATTCCTCAGAATGAAGTGGGGCGGAGGGTTCTTTGGCATGATTTGCCTGGGTACAAGAACAGGAACCGCCCTCCTGCCCATAGAATAGAACAGATGGGAATCACCGTCTGCTCAAGTCTGGACTGCATGTTCCATCAGGAAAAGACAACACACATTTCTTCCTTTTTGGATGGGATTCTCCCTCCCTCCCTCCTTTCTTTGAGAAATACTTATTCGCTCTACCTCTCCCTTCTCTCCTCCCATACCATTTGTTACAGGATTAATGGCATCGTGTCAGAATCTCTCAACACTTCTGCTGTGCGCGTTTGCCATTATTAGCTGAGCTGGCCAAGGCAACACCAGGGCAACATCTGTCTACTGTCACATAAAAGGCCATGGGGTGGCGGGAGGTGGGGGTGGCACAGAAGTCTTAAAGACGGTAATTAGTTATTAAGCTTTATTAGACCTCCAACTATACTATTCTGGAAGCCCTCCAAAGGCCTTCAAGCTGTGAATTTTTCCACATTTGGAGATGGCTTTCCCTCAGAATTACAGGGGTTTGGGAGCGACGAATGATGCAATGATAGCAAATTGTTTAGAGGTTCTCTGTCCTCTTCTAGTCCTGTGGAGGAGCCCAGGGGACAAGGAGAGCTCCGAGCAAGCATTTTGCTCCCACAAAATAGGCTTTTTGAGCCTTGGCTTCCAGTCCACCCTTCCTATGTGCTGCTGTGTTTTCAAGATCCTCTTGAAGGGGCAGGCACTTCTCCACTCCCTGGCCTCCTCCAGGCCATGGCCACCTGCCTGGTACACTCGATGCACCGTTGGACTGGTGTGGGAGTCACCTGGCTTCTCAGGCCTGGGAGAAGGCACCCATGAGGGTCCTGGCTGTGGATCAACAAGCCCTGGTGCTGCGCAGTCTGCTTTGATTGACTCCTGCTTATAGAGATAGACTTGTCCATTTTGGTTCTCTAGGTTTTCCTTTTCTGATCTTACATTGAGTTCTCTACATTTCCACAGCAATTTGTGGTTCTTTTTCCCTTTGAAAAATCATCTTGAGACTTTGTCAGTATTTTAGTATGAATTTTTCCTAAGAGCCACGGTTTTTTGTACAGGCAACTCCGCATTTATGCACATTCAAGGCATGCATGACCATACACACAGACATCACCACGAACACAGAAGTGGCAGGAAAAGGGGCAAAAACGGTCCTAAAAGAATGTGAAAATGGAAGAAGGTTGTGAAAACTGTCTAGCAATCCCATGAGTCTTCGCAAGTGCAATCCCAGGATCCTTTGCACCAACCTTTGAGGCCTTTGAGGAGTTGGAGTTTGAGAAATGAGGTTTGCCGAGAACGATTGCAGTGGAGTTGGGTGGATTTTTGTGTTTTTCAAGGGTTTCCAGTGATTTAGAGGGTTTTTGCAGGTTTTTTCAATGGTGTTCCCAATATATGTGATTTCACTTAAACATGTGGTGCCTTGGAATGAAACCCCTCTGTAAATGGGCAGTTGCCTTATGTAGTTTTGGCTAATATGCACTGTAACGAAACATCAGAAGTGGCATCATGCCTCTTCACTGATCCATTGACAGCCTACCCAGAGGTAAACAAGAGTAGGCATGAGGTTAAGCAGCAGGGGAACCAACAGTGGGAGCCTATACTTCCCTTCCAGTCTGTTTGCATGGACAGCTGGAGAGGAGGGGAGATTAGGGGGAGAGAGGGATACCACTTCTCTGCCAGCAGCAGAAGTGGTGGGGCACCCATGGGAGCACTGCCTGAGGTGGCAGCCTCACTCCACCTAATGGTTGTGCCAACCTCAAGTTATGTGTGTCTGCTTGTGCAACATGCTCCCTCAAAAACTACAAGTCTCAGACCTCTGGCATTTCCCGTGTGCAGTACAAAGGAACCAACAAAGTGTGGCAGCAGATTACAGCAGAAGGAAGGGACAAGCACCCTAATAATCAGGGATATGTACCCTATTCCCATGCTGCTCTCCACATGTTATTTTCCCCTCTGCATAGAGGAGGAAGCCAAACCGCACCTTCAGGCCCTGATGTTACACACCCCACCAGTCCCTCCCTGCAATATCTTCACATTTGTGTGATACCTGTAAAGTTGAATGCATATGTGGTACACAGCTGTGTGCACTTAGACTCCCTTTCACGGGCGTTATGCCAAAGGAGCACAGATGTTGGGAACAAGCATTGACAAACAGAATAATCGTGAAAGGCTTTTAAGAGAACAGAGCTATTTGAATCCCAGAGAAAACGAGAGCTGGAGCTGCTGATGGGCTTTGCAGGTCCCAGTAAACCATCAAGGCCTCTCGTCTTCAGAGTGCATAGGAGAACTGGCACTAGCTCCCAGGGATAGAGAACAATCGCCTAAAGGATGTTTGTCACGCATCTATAGTTAATATACATACATGCTATACTGCCATGTCTGGCTATAAACACACACCAGGCATTTAGCAATGTCAGGAATTTAAACAAAGAGACAGAAAGAAGCTGCTGGACACCCATAAATCCTCCAGACAGAGGTAGGGGCTGGTTGACAAATTTGTACCAGGCTTGGATAAATTATGCTTGGGCTCTGCAAGTAGAAATGCAGTAAGACTTAATAAAAAAATTATACAAAAAAATAAATAAAATAAAAAGTAAGCACCTTTTAAAAAGAATGCAAAGTGCTTCATTCAGTAAGAAGAGGGCTGGGGAACCTGTGGATGTTGGTGGGTAGCTTTCATCATCCCTGGACATGTGCTGACCAGAGCTGATGGGAGCTGCATTCCAATGACTTCTGAAGGGCCACTCCTGCTTTGCAGCGACGCTGTAGGGTCAGTCTGTGTTTTATTCTCATACTGCTGGTGGGTAATAGCAGCACCCAGGGCACTTGGGACTTCCTGGCTCACAGTCTTAGCCACAACATTGTGCAGGCTCAGTTCCCATAACGCACCCTTCCCCAACTTGGTGCCCACCAGGTGTTTTGAACTTCAGCTCCCATCATGACCCAGCAAGCATGGCCAATGGTCAAGGAATAATATAATCCCAATTTCCCATTTGCTCAATTTGCTGTTGTAAGCAATGGCCCTGTAGATTTGGAGTCCGGAGTGCTTTTACTCCAAGGTACCTTTCTTGAGTCACTCCTGGTTGTCAAGGGTTCTGTTGAGGGTCTTCAATAGATCTGTATTTCCGTCAAGAATCACACCAAGAAAAGGAACTCTCTTGCTGTAATTGGTGGACTAAGCCCACACAGTCAGAAAAAAAACACTGGGTAGAAAAGGTTCTGCACAGTAGCTAAGCAACCCTCCCGCAGCTCTGGAAACTTCACAATAGGAAGTGAGGCCATATGTAGTAGTTCCTAAGAGGCAGTTGCTAGGGAACCTTGATGGTTGCTTAGCTAGTATTCCAACTAGGTCTGTGTTGTTATTTTTGTTAATTGAGCCCCTTCCCAATTGTTGATTTCAGGTTCGGATTATTGCAACAACCCCGCTAATGTTTCTAAATTCCACAGCATATCCTAATTTCTAAGTTTCCTAGAATTTTAGAATGATCCAGCCTTTGGTGGGAAGGAACAAGTGATGAAGAGCTGGACAGTCAACAACAAGGAAAGGAAAGGAAAGAGAAGGGGGAAAATATCTGTAGAATTATTATTATTATTATTATTATTATTATTATTATTATTTTATTATACCACCCTTCATCTGAGGATCACAGGGCCATTTTCACTATAAAAATACTGAACATAAAAGCAAACGAAACAATAACCACCACCTCCACAGTTTTAAAGGCCATAGATGGTTTAATTAGCCAAAGACCTGGAAGAAGAGGAATGTTTTTGCCTGGCACCTAAATACATCTAACAGAGGCACCAGGTGCACCTCCCTGGGGAGAGCATTCCGCAAGCAGGGAGCCATCACAGAAAAGGCCCGTTCTCATGTTGCCATCCTCCGAGTCCAAACTGCTCATGCAGGGGGCACACAATGAATGGTCTAAGATGATGAGTGCAGGATCCAGGTTGGTTCGTAGGGGGAGAGGCGGTCCTTGAGGTATTGCAGTCCTGAGCCCTTTAAAGTGCTATTAATTAAAGAGTAGAGCAGAGTTCTTCATCAATGTCATTTCTTACTTTGGCAAATCCAACAGGATGGTAGGCTATGGGTGGCCATAATCTAACTAGGTGGAGGTGTAACTGGGGCCTTCAGTTTCCTGGCATTTCTTTATTAAAGTCATAGACACTTAGATACATTTCAGCACTTGCTGTTGAAGAAACCCAACAAGGTGTCTTTATTTATTATTTGATTTCTATTTTATCATCAGATTCATATAACCCAAGAGGCCATCGCCTCAGTAGGTCACAACCTAGTTGGCCATGGAACTGGAAAGTGAACATTAAACAACAGCCTTACTGTGTGTGCCCAGTTGGTGAGCGGGGAGAGACTCTGCTGTCCATCAGACAATGGCCTTTTCCACCTGCTTTGCCCCACCCTCCAGCCCTAGGAGCCTGTGTGTGAAATAGGGCATTCACACATACAACTGGTAGCCTACACCTGTTTTCCATGCAGCTTCTGAGAGGCCACAGGTTCTCCAACCCCCTTGCCTATTCTGGCTTGTGCACTGAGATGTAACTGTTGTTTCATAGGTTCATAGAGTTGTAGAGTTGGAAGGGACTCCGAGGGACGTCTCGTCCAACCCCATGCAATCTAGGAATCCTGCTCACAGCCATCCCATCAAGGCATACTGTGCATGGTGAAGGCCCCACATCATAAAAACACCCCAAGGATATCAGGCAGGGTTCGAGAGCTACTGCCAGCCAGGGTAGACTATGTTGGATCGACCATCAGACCTGGTATAAGACAGCTTTCTATGTTTATAAGTCTATCTCCCACATTAATTAATTCGAAAGCAACCTTCTGCCCATTCTAGAAATAAGGCAGACCAACGTACTACCCCACCAGCCAACACAGATCTGTCAAAGCCACTGATCTGCTCTTCCGACCCTTGCATGAGTTCCTCCTCTCCTGATTTATTCCTGAGCTGCCTGATTGACACTGTTCCTGCCATCCCTCCTGGAGGATTGTTGACATGCCTGGTGCCACTTGTCAGTCTTCCCAAAGCTGCACATATCAATCTGCGTTTCCCTAGATGGCTCTGACCCTCTGCTCACCTGAGAGCCAGGATATAAATAACTGCGCACGGAAATGAAAGTGCTGATTGGGATTTAAATAGCATTTCCATAAAATCTTCCTTGAGTACTAATTAATTAAGCTATGATCAGTGTGCCTTGATGGCGCTTGTCTGATAACAGAACAAACTGGCTGGGTGGGGGAGTCTTAGGAGCACCTCTTAAGGCCTTCCTGTGGATGCTGCTGCCAGAGATCCAGGATAATGAGGTTGTGTGTTTCCAATTGTTAAGCTGCAGGCAAGATTTGTTCCCATTAACCTGATAGTGCCTACAATTTGAGGTGTTTAACAAATGCTTCTTCTTCTTCTTCTTCTTCTTCTTCTTCTTCTTCTTCTTCTTCTTCTTCTTTTTCAATGATGCCTCATTGGGAAGCAAGATCTTGGCTACAGCTAAGGGTCAAATGAGAATCAGCAGGTGGAACATTGCCAAGCCCATGGTGCGAGACTGAAGAGCCCCAGTGGTGCAGGAGACCTGGGACTGTACGTGAGAAATGAGTTGAAACACTCAGATCTTGGTGTGGATTCTCCATGTGACCTTGACCTAGATGCTTTCATATGACTAAACATCAGGAATAACTTTCTGACAGCAAGAGCTATTCAGCAATGGAACAGACTCTCTTAGAAGGTGATGGACTCTCCTTCCTTGGGGGTTTTTAAGCAGAGGTTGGTATTCCATCTGTCAAGGATGCTTTAGTTGAGATTCCTGCATTGCAGGGAGTTGAACCAGATGACCCTTGGGGTCCCTTCCAATTCTACAGTTCTATGATTCTATCTGTGAAATCGGAGTAATGGTGACCTACTTCTGAGTGCTGTTATACTATATCCCTAATGCTTGGTATGGTTTTCATATGTTCTGAAGAACAAAAGCTCAAGTGCTGTTTCTAAGAATCAGAAATTTATTGGTTGTAATAAAAGGCAATGTAATAGGAGCAAGGAAGAGCCAGAAAGTTCTGAGACTGAATAACTTTATTAAATATCACTGGGAGGAATTCAACGTAGCACAATTTTTCTATCAGTGCAACATTTCAGTTTGCCAGATAAAATAACCCCCCTCTTCTCTCCCCCCCCAGTGAACTTTCTGGGGATTTTCTTGACCCCAGAGATGATGGGGGGCCATGGGGAAGATAGGAAGAGACCAGCTACACTAACAGAAGTGAAATGTCAATGGGAATTAATAATAAAACATAGAGCACTATTGTAAGGGCCCTTTTATACTATTGCAAACCTTTGGCTTCACCCATGCATTTAGATATTTTTATCTTGCTTCTTGGTAGGACCACAAAGCTGCCTACCTAGCTCTTGACACAGCCCATCCACACTGGATATCAGAAGGAGTAAAAGATGAGTAATCACGGTGTCAAAAATCCAGGTTGGTTACAAGACTCATAAATAGGCCACCAGCAGGATTTTGACTAGCACACCAAGTAATAAGCTCTGGAACCATACTTTGTTTTTTTTTACTGAACACCCAAAGGATCAGGTTGCCAATCTGAACCTGCAGTCTGAGACGCAGTGAGTGGCCACTTCCCACCTTGCTGTCTCTATAAATGCAGCCCTTGCTTCCGTGGCTTCGTTTTCATTCCCAGTGTGCAGTCTTTCACTTTCCCAGCACATTCATCGCAACCAAAATAACAAGGGTAGTTTCTAGTTAGGATAAAATCTCCCTGTGATAACGTGAGGCAGGATGTGTGGTGAGGCAGAGGGGAAAGATAATTTTGATTGCCACCAATATCTCTCATTTCCCAAGGCAGTAGGGCGTAACTCTATCAGATTAGGGTGCTTCCCCATGGCAGCCTTCTGTAGGAATTGAGATGCTTCGCAGGTGATTGGCAACCTGATTCAGTATGCTGGACACCCCCAAGCCAGGCATCGATTGTGCTGATTTGCTCCTACGGCTGGTACATTCATACTTGCAAAATCAGCACAGAGGATTGGAAACCGTTGCACGAAACCAGCACCGTTAGCTGTAAATTCTTTGGCAGTAAGATTATGGAGCCACTGTCCCTGGTAGGGTGGCCACGATGCAACCAGAATGACTTGCAATCACCTTGAAAGCAGGAGATGCAGCAGCAATAGGCTATGGCTATCTGTTCCTCTCCATTGCCCATCCTCCCTTGCCTGCTCTGCAGTATCATAGAATCATAGAATCATAGAATGGGAAGAGACCACAAGGGCCATCAAGTCCAACCCCCTGCCAAGCAGGAAACACCATCAGAGCACTCCTGACATATGGTTGTCAAGCCTCTGCTTAAAGACCTCCAAAGAAGGAGACTCCACCACACTCCTTGGCAGCAAATTCCACTGTCGAACAGCTCTTACTGTCAGGAAGTTCTTCCTAATGTTTAGGTGGAATCTTCTTTCTTGTAGTTTGGATCCATTGCTCCGTGTCCGCTTCTCTGGAGCAGCAGAAAACAACCTTTCTCCCTCCTCTATGTGACATCCTTTTATACATTTGAACATGGCTATCATATCACCCCTTAACCTCCTCTTCTCCAGGCTAAACATGCCCAGCTCCCTTAGCCGTTCCTCATAAGGCATCGTTTCCAGGCCTTTGACCATTTTGGTTGCCCTCCTCTGGACACGTTCCAGTTTGTCAGTGTCCTTCTTGAACTGTGGTGCCCAGAACTGGACACAGTACTCCAGGTGAGGTCTGACCAGAGCAGAATACAGTGGCACTATTACTTCCCTTGATCTAGATGCTATACTCCTATTGATGCAGCCCAGAATTGCATTGGCTTTTTTAGCTGCCACGTCACACTGTTGGCTCATGTCAAGTTTGTGGTCAACCAAGACTCCTAGATCCTTCTTACATGTACTGCTCTCAAGCCAGGTGTCCCCCATCTTGTATTTGTGCCTCTCATTTTTTTGCCCAAGTGCAATACTTTACATTTCTCCCTGTTAAAATTCATCTTGTTTGTTTTGGCCCAGTTCTCTAATCTGTCAAGGTCGTTTTGAAGTGTGATCCTGTCCTCTGGGGTGTTAGCCACCCCTCCCAGTTTGGTGTCATCTGCAAATTTGATCAGGATGCCCTTGAGTCCATCATCCAAGTCGTTGAATAAGACCGGGCCCAAGACAGAACCCTGTGGCACCCCACTAGTCACTCTTCTCCAGGATGAAGAGGAACCATTGATGAGCACCCTTTGGGTTTGGTCAGTCAGCCAGTTACAAATCCACTGAGTGGTAGCATAGTCAAGACTGCATTTTACCAGCTTCTTTACAAGAATATCATGGGGCACCTTGTCAAATGCCTTGCTGAAATCAAGGTAGGCTACATCCACTGCATTCCCTTCATCTACCAGGCTTGTAATTCTGTCAAAAACGAGATCAGGTTAGTCTGACATGACTTATTTTTCAGAAATCCATGCTGACTATTGGTGATCACAGCATTCCTTTCTAGGTGCTCACAGACTGTTTGCTTAATGATCTGCTCCAGAATCTTCCCTGGTATTGATGTCAGACTGACTGGGCGGTAATTATTTGGGTCCTCTCTTTTCCCCTTTTTGAAAATAGGGACAACATTTGCCCTCCTCCAGTCTGCCGGGACTTCGCCTGTTCTCCAGGAATTCTCAAAGATGACTGCCAGTGGTTCTGAGATCACATCTGCCAGTTCTTTTAATACTCAAGGGTGCTCTTGCAAGATGGGGGGCAGATAAGAAGAGCAGGCAGGGAATTGATGGAAGCATCTGCAGCGTCTTCCCCTCCCATGTCGATGGATGCATTTAAAATACACGCCTTTCCTTCTCCAGATTGCAGACTGACAATGCTAGTCTTTGGGGACACTGAAGCTTGAGAGCCACCTCATGCAGAGATCTGGGCGTTTGGTGGGAGTTATGGAGCGTGTGGCAGTGAGAGCAGATGCAAGACTTGCTGTCATATTCCTATGATGCAGTTTGAACCTGAGATCTTCTGCTTGCAAGGCAGATGCTTTACTACAGAGCTACAGCCATTCCCCACAGGTGGTTTCACTTGGCCCAGGGCCATCTCAAGCCTAGATGCCAGCCCTGGTGAGAATGTAGGACAACACCAGAGGCTAATAAAGGGAAACATGTGACAGCATAGTCCCGTCCCCCCCCCCCCAATATTGTGGACAGGCTCCTTTTGAGTTTCTTCACTATTACTGTTGGTGGACCGTAGGCAGGGGTTCAAAAACCTTGACTGGCTTTGTTAGCTAAGCCAAAATCTGTAGTTGCCAGGATCCTGTCCCAATGCCTGAAACTCTCTGAAATCCCTCTGAATTATGCATCCTGCAAAAGAGCCAACAAAATGGAGGGAGCCCTGTGTTTATAGCCATCCTCCGGCTTCTTTTCTTTAGTTTCTTTTTGTTTTTAATTATCTCCACTGACAATATTCCATTATTATTTTTCTTCCTCCAATCTATTCTCTCCTTCATCTATTAGTCATTCATCTTGTCTTCTTGCTATTTGTTCATTCTTTGAAGTTAAATCCTTCAAAGACAGAATTTCTTATTTTCTCCTCCTCTCCTTGTTCCTCCTGCTTCTTTATTGCTGATGTTAGTATTTCTCCTTCCGAGAACCTTCTCCTGAAGCTAGAGGACTTGGTGTCATAGTTTTATTTTATTCTTTTCTTTTTCCTCCTGTGATTTCAAGATTAGCTAAATCCTGTCATTTTCACTTGTCAAAAATATTGCTAAAATATGTTTCTTTCTGTTGAGCCTGCCCATGCTGTTCCCTTATTTTATGTCGGATTGGATTTCTGCAGCTTCCCGCCACCACTATGAGGCTAGGGCTGATGAGAGTTGTACTCCCAAACATCTGGAGGGCACCAGGTTGGGGAGGGATTAATGCTGCTTTAGTTGGTGTTCTGTGTGTGGGTTTCCCACAGGCATCTGGGTGGCCACTGTGAGAACAGGATGCTGGACTAGATGGGCCAGAACAGAATCATAATCAAGCAGCACCATATGAAAAATGGGTGGCTTTCATTATCATGACCCGTGTAGGAAGGGTTAAACCTTCTCTCCCTCAGCAGTGCAGCCCCAATGAAAATCACCCCTTCACCCACACCCACACCTAACATTAACATTTTAAAATGGAGATAGCGCTGTGCACTACACAATTAGCATAACAGGTAGCTTGATCCTGGGTCACACATTCCACTGTGAAAAATCAGGCATTGCCGTCCCTCCATTATCTATTTGCTCTATCAGGTTTGACTTTGATCCTTGTTTCTATAAAAGTCACGAAAAGGTAGTTTTTGCCAGATATGTATATGTATGCTGGCTACAGAAATAAATATGGAAACCTAGGAAGACTTTATAGCTCTTCATTCAGGGGTTCCCAACATTCTTGGGCCTGGAAGCACTTTGGCAATATAAGGAACTGTTGTGGGTGCCATGAAGTAGCCATTTCAGTGAAGAAAAACTGGTGATGCTA